TATTACTATGAGTATAGAATTTATTTGGGTAGTGTTTACTACACTTTTCATCCACCATACATGGATCATTTGAGTTATATACTCCACATGGACCATGGTCCATTTGTCTTTTAATAATGTCATAAGTCAAGGGATCAATATTCTTATTTGGTATTTTAACACATATTTTACTATCAATTTCTTCAGAAGTGATTGGTTTGCATCTATCTTGAAAAGACAATGTAATATGTGAATGCGCCAATCTTTGCTTTTGATATTCAATTATTTGAACATCTGATGTACATAAAAATTATTATGTGTTTGAAATTGGTATATATTATATAATCATTATTGAAGACGTACGAGTTAAGTTCCCTATACTTGCTATTGTATGTCAAAAAAATAATCAATTTTTCAAAAGATGCAATAATGTTTTGTGTTTCATCCTGAATACCTTTGCCAATATATCAGAACGATCTTCTGACCATTGATTAGGAAATTTTGCTAATGCATTGAAGATTTATGACCATTTAGGATTGCACATAAATGTAATAAACAAATCTAGAGGTCCGATTGATTTGCATAGTGCTAAAGCATCATGATAATGTTGTAGCATGTTCTTTGGACCCACAATAAATGAAGATGGTAAAAATATTCTAATTCCAACTGAACTGACATATATATATATATATCCCTAATATCAACATCATCTTCAAGGCCTTAATATAAATCTGAATGAAATTTCGATTGATGCGTCTTTATGTAATTCAAACGTTGTTATTCAATTTCCGTATAACAATCGACAACTAGTTGTCGAAGTAAACGACCTCCTTGTATAAGAGTTGTATGTTTTAATTATCTATGTTAGAACCGAAATGCCCAAAATTTGCGAAATGAGACTTGTCACGTTTCTTCAAAATTTTCATTATAAGGAATATCAATTCTCCATTCTTTTGTTCCATATAGGAAAAATAATAGATATTGTAATAGAGTATAAAAAGGATACGTCTCGTTAGTACACCTCAAATGTCCATCAGTTTTACAGACAATAATATCACGATTTTGAATAATATTTTTATTTTCCCGACAATTTAAACAACAATTTCAACCGCAAAAGGTATTGTGTATTTTTGGTTGTTTCACTTCTACTATTCAGAATTCGTATATATAAATCCACAGTGTTATTATAATCCAATGCATTTCTTGCCGATCGAAAAATCTGAACATAAGGGTTCACATTATCCAACATGATTTTAAGACCCTCAACCATTGAAGACATTTTTGAAATTGATCTATCTCTTCCTAAAACAACTAATCAGTTACGCACTTCAGCAAGTCGCGGTAGAGGACTCCTTCTTTAGGCAATAGACGGCGCCCTTATGAAAAGAAAAAGAAGAAGAAGAAGAAAATTAAATAAATAATATTATTTATTTAATATAATTTTAATAAAAATATATTATTTTTTCTAACAAGATATCAAATCAAATATTATTTAAACAAAAATTCAAATCAAATTTAAATCACAACCAAACAAACTCAGAATTAGATATTTCTTATGAACATTCAGTGTAAATTTTCAATTAAAAATATATATTATCTCTATATTGCAGATTCACATCAATAATAAAATGAACTAATATGAGTAGAGATTGTATTGATTGTTATTTGATATACCCGGACAATACATAGTTTTTAGTAATATAATACAAATATAACAAGTAAATTAAGGATGTGTTTACTGACCCAGGATTAAGGTGGATAATATTATTTTATCCGTTGTAATTCCATTTTTACTTTAAAGTATTAAAACCGAGATAATTATGGATTTGGTAGAATAGTAACATTTTGTAGAATTAATAGTACAATTCCTCTCTAGTATTATTTAATATCTCTTAATAAATTTTTAAATTATCTACTTTCTTAACATTTCGAATAATTTTACATAAATATTATAATATATTTTTGTTTAATATTTATTTAAACTATATTTTTATTTTACTTTGAAATATAATTTGATTTTTTTTTCTAATTTTTATACACAATACAATTTAATCTAATATTTAATCAATCAAAATAAACACTATATTAATTAATCTCATGATTATATAATTTATTGAAATAGTCCTATGTATAATAATACAATTATTTAAAATAAACGCATCCTATAATATTTCATTCCAACACATCTTTACTAGTAATCTCAGCACATGAAATATATTAACACATCACATAGAGCCGTCTCGAATTTTTCCAATGCCCTGAGCAAAAGATAAATGGCAAGTCCTATAAAAATATTATTAAATTTATTTTTAAAATGATATAAAAGTATAATAATAAACGCGACAAAATTAACAGTTATTATAATCATATATCCAATATACGAACTACACATAAAATGTATATATATCATCATATGAAAATAAACAATATAGAACCTCTTAAGCCAAAGGTAATTATCGAAAACAAAATGGTAGTAAAGAAGATTAAACCATTGAGGATTGTAGATTTGTATTATTTATTTTATACGATTTTTAATAAAAATATATACCTCCATTCATTTACAATGTTTATATATTTTTTTTTTTTGCGTATTAATATTTAAATATTAATTATCATATTAAATTATAATACAAATTAAGTGAAAATGACAAAAAAAATACTTTTATCAGTGTATTATAATACAAATATAATAACATTTTTATAAAAAATTATGCAAATATAAAAATATTTTTAATGTTAAATACGATAACGCAAAATGTAAATATAAACATATTAAATGAACGAAAAAAACACTATATTTTTTTACAAAATATACTATTTAATAAAAATATAAATTAACACTTTATTTTAAATTAATTTTAAATTAGAAGCAAACAAATCATGTTAGCATTTGACGATTAAAACGACTGAAAGCGTGTTATCGAAAAATACAAAAAACGTGGAAATGGAAGGAACGGTAAGCGTTGAGTTTATTATACACGATTCACATTTACTACACATTTATTTATTTAATATTATTAATATATATATATATATATATATATATAGACACTGTTGATCTGTTCTTGAAGGGTTCAACTTATATAAATTAATATAATATATTAATATTTTTTCTTACCTAAAACAAATTAAAAAAACCAGATGAATGATACTTGATTTTGCTTTATTTTTTCAACGTTTTAATTGTTTTTTTTTTTATTTTTTATTCCAATTACGATGGCAACAATTAATTAAATTTTAAAAAATATATATATATATAATATTCTAGAAATAAGACTGCCGACTTAATTCCTTCATCGTTTTTCTTAGCTTAACCGTATTTGTCAATGGTCATCACATAGTAATTATTTTCTCCCTAAACATATTTACTACTCCATCCATTCGTCCCAAAACTATACTCTGGGTTGAGATTGGCATAGTGGATAAAAAGTACGGTTGATGAAAGACTTTTTTGTCCTTGCGACTGTATTAGTGTAAAAAGCAGTGACAATTGTGTAATAATAATAAAAAAAATAAGGGTAGTTTTATAATGATATGATTATTTATGAAAATAAGACTATTGTTTCAGTACAGATAAAAATAATAAAGAGGACTATTGTATTGGGACTGAGGAAGTATATTAAATAAGCATAGCTTCAATTATTATCATTTATTATTATCGTGCGATAATAATTATTTTCATTTATGAATATAATACAATTTTTTTTTAATATTTAATAAATGGCCCAATTGAAGCCCACTTCATACAAAAGCCCAAACCTAGGCCTAATCCAATACTTTGCCTATTAGTCCATTAATAATGTTTGGAGCCCAAAAACTTTTTGTGGAGAGTTCAATTTGTTTGTATTACCAACGTATCCTTCATCTTTTTCTTATTTTCATTAAATACAACCAATAATGTTTACTCGTTTTGTCAAGAGTTAAAGTGATACGTTACCGTAAATACGAAAGTTTAGGTAAAATATAATTACTAAATAACTAAAATGTGTATTAATAAAAATAATTATTGATTAATATTAAAATAAGTAAATAACTTAATAAAAATTAAAATAATTATAAATTATAAAATAATTATATTTTCAAAAAATGAATTGATAAATTGTGGGACTATCAGAAATAAAAATAAATAAATAAAAAATGGACACTTTATGTGAGACATAGAGTATTTGTCAATTATTTATTAAGAAAAATAATTATACACTTTGATTATAATTTAAATTTTATAATCAATAATTTTTAAATTTTAATTAAATTATTAATTATTTTAATTTTAATCTATAATTATTTATATTATATCGTAATTTTTTAATATATTTACTAATTATAAAAATTGAAGAAACGGAGAGAATATTAAATTTTGAATAATATTTCTACTTTGGGTGTGTTTGTGGATTTTTTAATGTGATTTTTATCATTCATAATTTTTTTTTTCTCCAAAAAATAAATAAATCAAATCTTTGTTTTTCATATTACAATAAAGATAAATTTTATGCTAAAAACATTACATAAATTTTCATTTTAATGATATAAACTCAAAACCACATTCACATAAGATCTATCTTTAAAGAATTCTACAAAAACTATATTTTATTACTTTCATTATATATGTCAATTAAGTTTTAGTTGAAAATAAATCTAATTTCATAACATTGAAAAAATAAACTAAAATTAAATACTAAAAATAAATTATATATATATACTAAATAAAGAACAAAAAAAAAAAAAAAAAAATCTACTCCTCCCTCCCATATAATTTAGATCTATTAATATAATTCAAAATCCTTCAATTTGTTATAAATTTTTACTTCATTCCGTTATATATAATTTGTTCTTTTAAAAAAAAATAAAATAATTATATACTTTAATAAATAATTTAAAAATATTAATAAAATTAATCATAATAAAAATAATTTAAAAATTAAAAAATATTAAGTAATTATATTTTAAAGAAATAAAAAATAAATAAACTATATAAAATGGACAAAAATAAAAAACAGAATAAATAAAAAATAAGTAAAACAGGGATCAGATTGGCTGTGACCCAATTGTTGTAAAAGGCTTTGGGCGGGCACCCGTCTCGCATATTTTTTTTGCGAGCATTTATCACTCATCATATCCCCTTCAAACTTGTCCGAAGGATCATACAATTTCCATTCACAATTCCCACTATTTATAGTCCCACCATCACCCCATATGCCTTTTCCTCTTCCGATGTGGGACTCATATTTGCACTTAACAAATGTCGCAACATATTTAATTTTAAACTGTAGTGCAAATCCATACGTGATGAAAATACAAAAAAATGAGAGTAGATAATGAGATTGCAGATAAGTTGAGAAATATAAAAAAAATAAATGTAGATATATGAATGATCAAATAAGAATAAATGATTAACTGGATAAAAATAAATTTTTAACAAATGAGAATTCATGAAAATATTTTTGGTGAATATTTTTTTTTAAAAAAAATTATAAATTATATACGATGTTTTTTAAGATTACATATTTTAGTATAATTTCCTAAAAGATCGTAAACATTAAATAATTTAAAAATAAATTAAGTTTGTTTTTTTGTAAAATTGAAATAATATAAATTTAAAAAAATTATAAAAATTAAATAATACATAAACAATTTTAAAAAAATTTAAGAAATATCATTTCTCTCCATTTCTCTGCACATGAGAGAGAAATGAAAACAGAGAAATGAAAATGATTTATTTCTCAAATTCCATTTCTCTTACTCAAATAATACAATTTTCATTTCTCTTGCCTCATTTATCTGTACCAAACACAACCTAAGAGTGTATGATATTTTAAGTTTGATTTTTACGCATTATTATTAACATAGGTGATGGAATTAAAATGAATTTATTTTGTGACTAGAAATTTGCGTATTAATTGGATTATTGAAATTAAATATATTACTATTAGTCAATGTAAAATTTATTTGTGAATTAATATATGTACAAATCTACAGCACGTGCATTTAACAGAACAATAAGATTTAAATAAAAATGGAAAATTAAACAATCTTTAGTGTCGTCTAAACTCATACCATAATATGCTATAATTAAAAATATATATATAAAAATAAAAATAAAAATAAATAAATTAATTATTATAATATTAGTATTGAGATATTTTTAATATTTAATTTTAAATTTAATAAATATATATTTAGATTTGTTTATCAGATTACTTAAATTAGATTTGAATCATGTTTTATATTGTCTATATATATATATATATATATGATCTCTTATTTTGTTCAATATAATGCAATTTTATTGTTTCCATAAAATATTTTTACAATTAGTTTTGTATATATATATTATAAGTAACAAATATATAATATATTTTCTTATATTTATAAATTTATAGAATTTATTTATAGTATAAATTTAAATTATTAATATATTTTAAATATAATAAATAAAATATAAAATATTTTTCTGCTTATAAATATTGCATAAATATTAACAATACTTTTTTTTCCGTCTATTAAATTTGTTTTATTATTATATTTTACAAAATAAAAAAATCAGCATTTAATTATTACTGTGAATTCAATATTTATTTAGATGCCGTTGACTTTATTACATTTTTTATATTTTCGTTACTTACTAACTAAATTTTAGAATATCATTAACTATTCTTTTACCTTTTTTTTTCAATAAAATATTTATTCATTTTATTGTCTGCATCATAGCTAAATGAACTATTTCTTTTTATCGTACGAAGGGTATCATAGAAAAATATATAAATATAAATATAAAATTTGTTTTGTAGGATGTATAAAATTTTATACTTTAAATAAATGAACTAATAAGAAAAAAATACAAATTAAAAATATATATATATATATGTTGGAAAATATTAATTATTTAAATGATAAAATTTAATTTTAAAATAAATTTTTAAATTTCAAAATTAATTAATCGATAAATAAAAATACAATATACTAAACAAAGCCTTAGGGGTGTGGGTTATGGAATTTTGTCAAATGACAGAGAACCATGTGGCTGCTAAAGTATTTGATAGCAGTAAATATGGAGGGAAAATGTAAGAAATAAAATGAAGATGAAGAAGATGATCATGTTGATTGCATTTGTGTATTGAGACAAAACCTACCTAAACTTGGGGGTGAAAAATGCAAAAAATATTTTGTCAAATATCGGCTGAGGTTAAATAATGATTTCAGCTTGTATCTTTTAATAAATGAAGAAATAATGAACCAAAATATTTAACAAGTTGAGGTCAAATATGAAAAGATTCTGGGTGTGTTTCTGGTGAGTTTTCGGTGAGTTTCAAACCTTTCTGATGTCAATTCCGATGGGTGCCGAGGCTTAGAGTGAAGAACCGACTTTCAACTTGAGACGTGGTTATCACGGGCCGTTCGCACCATGGACTGAACCGAAACATGTTATCCCTAACGCCGGAAAGAAGAATCCAAGAAGATGATCGTGTTGCTGGTCACCGTCTGGCTGCCGGAGCCGGAGAGCCGTCACAGTCCGGGTTTGTTCATCGGTGTTACGAAAATTGAGAGAATCAATAAGAGACAACAATGACACATGAACACAAGAATTTGATTACCCAATTTAACCAGGATGATCTACGCAAAACGAGAAATTTTACTATAGAATACGCACCAGAAATTTTACTATAGAATACGCAAACACATGTTAAAGTGAGAATACAAGTACTATGTCAATAATATCCAAATTATATTTCTAAAATACAGGATATAATATCCAAGTTATATCTAAATCAGATCTTTAGATTTTAGGATATCAGCCTTACATATCTCAACAGTCGACTAAAGAAAAAGGAAGTCAATCGGAGGTTCGAAGCTGTTTGGAGACTGCCGAATCAGAGGAGTCGCTGGCTCTAGTTCGGCCCAGAAGAGTTTGATGTAGTCCGATCGGAGCGCCGTCGATTGCCGGAGGATGTCCGCCGCATGCCGCTGTCGTCAATTTGTGCTTTGATTCAATTCAATTAATTTTCGGTTTATATTTGTTTTGTGTTTTATTCAAATTTTGTTTCAGCTATTAATTGATTTATATTTGTTGGTTTTTAAAGGATCAAAATCAAAACAACACACAGAAAACTAAATATGCACTTTATTAGAACTTGAAAACAAAACACTAATCGTAATGAAAACAAATATGATGTTGTTGATGTTTTTAAAAACTGGAAAGTTTCAATAGAAAACCAAAAAGGGCATAAAATCAAATATTTAAGGATTGATTATTGACTAGAATTTTGTAACCAATTGATGGATTCTTTGTGTGTTGAATGTGGCATAACTAGCCATAAAACTATCTCTTATTTATCCCAACAAAATTGGATGGCTGAAAGGATGAATCACACTCTTCTTGAGAGAATGAAGAGCTTATATCATAAATAGATCCCCTTCTAGGACCTTAGAAAGAAAATTTCCTGAAATTGTGGTTAGAAAAATCTGTGGAATTTTCAAATTTAAAGGATTTTTTGTTGTGCTGCTTTCAATTTTATAAAATCTGATAAACTTGAACCAAGGGCTGAAAAATGTATTTATTTGGGATATCCCGAAGATGTTAAATGTTATAGATTATGGTGTAAAAACTATCCGAATTTTTAAGTTGTAATTAACCTTTATATGACTTTTAATGAACATGATATCCCATGTTTAAATAAAATCACTGCTGATTTTTATAATAGTCCAAATAAGGTGGAGTCTAATAAAAATTTTGTAAATTCTTTGAATTAAAGAGTGCTGAAACTGATTTTGTGCCTGAAAATGATAGTTTTAATCATGTTCCTACTGTTGTTCCAGTTTTAGAGAGGTCTGAAAGTGATATCTCTGAACCAAATGGTTCAAATTTGTATGAATCTAGTACTGGTCCATGTGTTAATGAAAGACCAAGAAGAAATATTAGGCCTCCAACTAGATTAGATGATTATGACTTCACTTCATATGCATTTAGTGTGTTTGATGACAATGAACCTAAGACTTTTAAGGAAGCTGTAAGATCTAAACATAAAAATGAATGGTTTCAAGCAATGCAAGATGAAATGAATTCTTTGAAAGTGAATAAAACTTGGGAATTAGTCCCAAAACTTGAAAATTGTTCTGTTATTGATTGCAAGTAGTTGTTTAATGTTAAAAATGAGGGTGAACAAAAGATTATGTTTAAAACAAGATTAGTAGCAAAAGGTTTTACACAAAAAGAGGGCATTGATTATACTAAAATGTTTTCTCCCATTGTAAAATTTTCTACTGTTCGTGTTATGCTTGCTTTAGTAACTCATTTTGATTGAGAAGTTAAACAACTTGATGTGAAAACAACATTTTTATATGGTGATTTGGATGAACATATTTACATGCAACAGCCCGAGGGCTTTGTAGATAAAACATGTCTGATTTTGTGTGTTTCCTTAAAAAATATCTTTATGGTTTGAAACAATCACCAAGACAATGGAATTTAAAATTTGATAAGTGCATAAAATTCATAAATTTTTTTTAAAAAATGAATATGATCATTGTTTGTATTTCAAGACTGTTGGCAGCATACCTGTATTCCTTTTGATCTATGTTGATGAATATTGCTAATTAGTCCAAATCTGAAAATTATAGATCAAATCAACAAGTGTTCAAGTGATCATTTTAATATGAAGTTTTTTGGTGATGCAAAAGTAATCTTAGGTATGCATATTTAAAGAGATAAGCAAAACAAAAATTTGTTTTTAGGACAGCCTACCTTTATTGATAAAATTCTAAAAAAATTTAATATGCTAAACTCCAAAGTTGTTAGTGTGCCACTTGCTTCTCATTTTTGTTTGAGTAAAAATCAATGTCCTAAAAGTGATTCAGATCTTGCATATATGAAAAATATGTCATATTCGAATGTCATAGGTTCAATTATGTATTTCATGGTTAGTACCAGACCCGATATTGCATATCATGTTAGTTGTTTGAGTAGATACATGTCTAATCCGGGGTTGGAACATTGGGTTGCTTTGAAATGATTGTTGTGTTATTTGTGTGGGTCAAATAACTTGGGATTGATGTATAAACAATGTGATGAAGGGGTTGTTTTAAAAGGCTATGTGGATTCTAATTATGCTAATGATAGAGATAGTAGAAAGTCTAATACCTCATATGTGTTTACATTGTGTGGTTCTTGTGTGAGTTGAAAATCACAGTTGCAACACATAGTTGCGCTGTCGACTACAGAGTCTGAATATATTGCTGTCACAGAAGCAATTAAAGAAGCTATATGACTTAAAGACTTGTTGATTCAAATTAGTTTTTTTGAAAGGTGAGGTACAAATTTTTTCGGACAGTCAATCAGATATTTAATTGTGCAAAAATTCAATTTTTCATGATAGAACCAAACATATTGATGTTAGATTCTATTTCATACGTGATATAGTTGCTAAAAGCCTTATACAACTCGAAAAAATTCCGTTCCAATTCAATCCGGCTGATATGAGCACTAAGCCATTACCTATTTCAAAATTTGAGTCGTATTTAAATATCTTGAATTTTGATACTTTTGATTAGCTTATCATATTGCTTTTTTTTTTTTTTTTTTACTTACAAGTGTGGTTGAGTATAGGTGTGTGGCTGTGATAAAAATTGTGTCCGTCTGCGTGAATCTCGACCAAAAAGGTAGAGAAATGTTGAGTTATTGGCCTAAGATCTATTTCCATCCGACCCGTGTCCGACCCGGTTGATGACCTGACCCATTCAGGCGACCTAATCTTCTCTTAATCTAATCTCATCCGTCGGTTTTAGGGAAAAGATCACAACCGTCCACTATGACATATATATTGTTGTCCTTCTCCCTTAAATCACAATGCACCGCTACTGTGTTCTTCTCTCACTAATATTCTCTCTACCACTCGCGATATTTTTGTCCTTCAGTCACTGTGAGTTCGACGTTGAAGTTTCCGGCCGATTTATTGTAGAATCAAAGGCGAGTCTTCTGTGTGCCTTGGGGAGTGATTGGTGAGGTTTTCTATGGTTCGATTATCCCTAAATCGAACAAATTCCGATAGAGTGTGGGGCTTTCGATTGGGGGTTGTAGATTAGGTCACCAGTGGGTGTCCGTTGGCCGTCGACCGTCGTGCTGCTGTTTTCGGGTTGCTCTTTATCTATAGGAGTATACCTTTGAATATTCTGAGCCACAATCGGCGTGTGTTCGTTGGTTCTTATTTACGATTAGTGTTTTGTTTTCAAGTTCTAATAAAGTGCATATTTAGTTTTATGTATGTTGTTTCGATTTCGATCCTTTAAAAACCAACAATATTTTCTATAGGAGGTATTGTTCGAATAAATATGTAAGTTGTATGTGTTTTTTTCGAATAGGTACGTTGGTTGGTAAAAAACAAAAACACAAATAAAAATAATAGTTGACTCTCCATTGGAGCCAAAAACGAGATGATTTTTCTCCGGAGCAAAATATGAGATGATTCTACCGGAACCGAAAACGAGATGACTCCACCAGAGCCGAAAATAAGATGACACTCCACCGGAGTCGAAATGAAATGACTCTTCACCTGAGCCGAAAACGAGATGACTCTCCACCTGAGCCGAAATTAGATGAGTCCACCGGAACAAAAAACGAGATGACTCCACTGGATCTAAAAATGAGATGACTCCATCGGAGCCGAAAATGACATGACCCCACCAGAGCCGAAAACGAGATGACTCCACCGGAGCCGAAAATCAAATGACTCCACCGGAGCCGAAAACGACATGACTCTACTGGAGCCGAAAACAAGATGACTCTCCACTGGAGCCGAAAACGACAGGACTCCACCGGAGCCGGAGCCGAAAACAAGATGACTCTCTACCGGAGCCGAAAATGAGATGACTCCACCGGAGCCGAAAACAGATAGATCGCAACACCAAACAGATCGCACGTAGACAACAGACAAGCAACGGACATATGACATATCGTAGACAGATTTCCAGCAAGAAAGATGGCAGATTGCACGCAGGCAACAGTCAGGTAACGACATATGGCAAATCGCACGCAGGCAACAGACAGACAGTTGCAATTGGGAGACCTCCGGGTACATCCCATGTTGAATGTATCCAGAGAAACGCGGGTTGGTAGGCTATATCTACGGCATGAGAAAAATAAGCTCTGATACCATGTTAGAAATTATGGGGAAAAATAATGAGATTGTTTTATTAATTATCAAAATAAGGAGCCTATATATAGGCAATACAAAACAGAATCGATAAACTCAAATCTAAGTAATATAATCTATGAATAAGATCAAATCTAAATATAAATTTACTAAATCTAAAACCGAATATCTAAAATATCTCAACACACACAAGTCTTAATTTTTTTTGATTCATATACATACATTCAAATAAAGACGTAGGTTATGTTATGTATAAATTTATGTATTTTTCAAATTATTTTTAATACTTTGTTGTTAATTAAACCCTTTTATTTAGTTAATTATTTTTTATTTTTTTTATATTTTAGTACTATATAAAATTTAAATTTCTACAAAATTGTATATATCAAAATAGTTTTATTTAAATTTAATTTCAAATATTAAGTATTTTAATATGAATATAAATAAAAAAATATATTCTTTATTAATGTAAATAGAAAATATAATGTGAAATTTTTAAAAAAAATGATGTGAAAGTGAAAAGAAACTTTTGGATAATTTCTTTAACGATGATAGTGTAATGCCATCATACACTCTCATAAGATCTACCAATTTAACAAAAGAAGGTCCAGCCAACTAACAAGCTAAGGGATACAATTAATTAATTAAGTTAGAAAAATAAATAAAAGAAATTTAGTAATTGGAATATTGGAATAATTAATTAATTAATTAATTAATTAAGCAGTTCTCCATTGCATCTCAATTTGAATTCTGCCATTCTTGGAGTCGATAAGGTTGTACCTTTCGTTGATCCTTTTGTTGTTCACAACGTCCGCCAGCCGTATGTCCACATACCCCAGAATTTCCTTAATTAATTAATTAATTAATTATAATTATATATCATCATCATCATCATAACTCTTAATTTAATTATTAATAATAAAATAAGGTAAATTATTTTTAGTCTCGTAACTGAAATTTTTATTATTTTAGTCCTGTAATTGGAGTATATTGTAAAATAATCAAAATTTTTTTTGCAGTTTTAGTCTTTCGGCGCCGGAGGTATCTATATGGCACCCGCGTGACTCGCCGGAGGTCACGTGTCTGCCAAGTGTCATTGACATTGACCCGGTGGACACGTAGATTTTTTTTAAAAGAACTTTATATATTGTCTGTTTTTTTAAAAAAAAAAAAAATTAGGCCAAATACAAAAAATATAATTTTTTCTTAAAAACAATTTACCCGTCATCCAAGTATATTGTTTACCTGGCAGACACGTGGTAAGCTACACGGGTGCCATGCAAGCACCTTCGACGCCGGAGGACTAAATCTGCCTAAATTTTTTTATTTACTAGACTAGTTTGCGACTAACCATACTTAGAAATGATAAAAATATGTAATTTTGAGATTAATTTTTTTTTACCATATAGCATATGTATATATATATATATACATACACATACCTTGGGATGCCTGAGGCCCATCCTCTTGGAAATGCTGACAACCTCGACATGGATCTTTTCATTGCTGGGTGGCTCCTCCACCACGAACTGGAATTCCTCATCCCATCGAGGATCCCTCGATTTCTTCACAATCTGCAATTAATTTAATTAATTATATGTTGTTTTATCAATTGATTTTAATTTTGATTTTGATTGCAGAGTACCTTAGATTTCCTCTCCTCTCCTCTGAAATGGAGGCGTACGGAGGGATTGGTGTGGTGCTTCCCTTCGAGGTCCTGGGCCTCGTGGACGATCACCACCAGCAGTCCGCCGCCGTCGGGAGTCCCTGCCGGAGCCTTGTCCACGTCGCCGGAATCTTCGACGTTCGTCGGAACGTCGCCGTCGCTGAACGGCTTGTAGTTCACCTCAACCACGAGCTGGCCACGTGACTTGTCGTTTTGGGGGTCGTCTGGATTTAGGGTTTTCAGAAGGTCCAGTGTCATCATCTTCGGCTCTTCTGGTGTTAGGTCTTTTAAATGGATCACATTTATACCCATTTTGTCGTGTGATCCAACCTGATAATAATTTTACGAATGTAATTTTGTTAATGATAATAAAAAATGAAATCCAAGATAAACAACTAAATATTTATAATTTGGAAACCTAAAGACTAAAAGAAATAAGCTCAAAAAAATGTTAAAAAAAAGAGTTTCCGAAAAGTGAAAAAAATGAAATAAAATAGATCATTTAAAACCCTAAACGACATTGGATGACCAAAAGTGTAAAGATGCGATATATCTAGTTTCCATCAAAGAACAAATGTAATTTTATTAAAGAAAATAACAGTAAAAAAAGAAGAGAAATAATTAAAATATTAATAAGTTCGGAAAACCCTATAATTTTAAAAAAATAAAGTTCAAAATAAAAAAGAAATTAATATAAAAAAAGAGTCCCAAAAAAAAAAAATCCTTTCACGACTTTACACGATCTTGAATGATCAAAAAACGCATGACATTATCACATGAAAGATGTAATGTATTTAGTTTGTTGGGCCATTTAAAAAAACCAATGCGAATTTCGTCCAATTTCGAACAAAAATACATAAAGTAAAAAATAAAAAAATTGAAAATTGTATAGTAACTTATAGTAGTCAATTCAAGAAGTAAGATATATATATACACACATATGTACGTACCTCGTCCCAATCATGGACTTTAAACTTCAAAGTTTGCTTGGAAGGATCCTTAACAACGAAGGTGAATTCCTCGTTCCACTCGGGGTTAAGGTTTTTGTATTTAACGGTCGTTTTTTTGGCGCCAACTTTCTCGCCAACGAGGTTCATTCTTACATAAGGATCCGATGCTCCTAGAAGATCTTTCTTCTTCAGCTTCATTGCTCTTACGACTTTCACATTGAGTATCCCTTTCGGTTTCTGCATTGCTCTGCCAATTCCATCGCAAACAAGAGGTCATCATCATCATCGATGTTGTTTCAAATTATTACGTTGGTTCTTATGTAAGAACTGAACATGTTTCTTACTTACATTGCAGGATCCATCACTTGAACTTCGAGTCGTTTAGGCCACAAGTACATATTTGCTACTTGATCTTTAATGATTCCCTATCCGACAAACCATAAATTTTAGTTCGAAAACCCTAGAATTAAGCCCAAAATAAAAAGGAAATAATTGTAAAAAAAGGTCCTGATTTTTTTTTTTTTTTAAAAAAAAAACCATTTTAGAACCCTAAATGATCTCGAATGTCCTTTTAAATGCTTGAAAAGAAAAAAAGGTCCTGATTTTTTTTTTTAAAAAAAAAAAAAAAAAAACCATTTTAGAACCCTAAATGATCTCGAATGTCCTTTTAAATGCTTGAAAAGGCAACGCGTATACTAAACTACAAAAAAATTAAAATTTAGCTACAAAAAATTCGGTAGTAAAAGGTAATTAATTCATAATAGAAACGTTTTTGCGACGAAACTTATTTCGTCGCCTTTACCGCGTTAGTAAGGGTCTTTGACGAAAAATATGACTTTCGTAACGAAAAGTACATTTTTTGCAATGAAAGTTGAAAAAAATATATATATATATAACTACAAAAATATGATTTCCTAGCTAAAACTCTTTTGCTATAAAAATAAAATTCATAACAAAAGAGTTTTAACAACAAAATATGCATGTTTTTTTTAGTCAAATAGTTTTAACTATAAAAAATAATTTGTAGCTAAAATTCTTTTGCTATGTTTAGCGACATAAATAATTTTGTAATACATCATTTATTTTTAGCGATGAAATTAATTTTTGTTGCTAAATTATACATTTTAACTGCAAAAATATTTCGTAGTTAAAATAATTATTGCTAATTAGATACTTTTTTGTAGTACTACCTGCACTAGCCTATATGCGCCGGGGATCGACATAGCATCTGCACCGAATAACTTCACTCCAAAATCAACATGAGGCTACGTGTCGAGATTTGAAGTAAAAAAAAAAAAAAAAGTTAAAGAACATCAAATTTTTGGTAAGGGGACAAAGGATACACTCTTAAATCTCGTCGAATAAACCATACTTTCTCCATGAGAGAAACATGTATGTTGGCGAAGCAAGGAAAGCTTGGAACAAGAGGCTTCAATGTAATCCGTGGATGAGCGAATACTTGCAACTCGATCACCTAAAAAATCATCCGAAAACATTAAGAAAAAAAAAAAAAATTATTCATCGAAGCCATACCTCTTATTAGGATTCATCCATGGTTCATTTCATGTTCACTCTTTTGTTACAAACTCGATATATACATATGCTTTGTTGTTAATTTTAGTATAATTGAGATTTATTCAAGATTAAAGTAGCATTGTATCAGAGCCATAACATGATATATGAAGTACAAAGTGCACGTCCATATATATTGAAATTATATCAAACCAGCAAGGATTACTTGCTGAATCTTAAAATTTAGCATGTATACTGATGTTTAAAAAATTAATTTAGGTAATTATATTATTTAATAGATTAAATTGAAATATTAAATTTTTAAGCATTCAGATAACTTTAACATGTGATCCAAACTCATATCAAATTAATTAAATTTAACTAATATATTTAATTAATAAAATTAAAATAATTATATATAAATGCTGAAATATTATTTTTAACACCTGATCTTTGGGTTCATTTACTATCATTCTTGCACACTCTTAATAACAACAACCACTATTCTATAAGTGGATATTCTTAAGCTTAGTTTAGATAGAAATTTTTAAAAATGTTAGAGTTTAGAAAAATTTTAAAGATAGTAAATTATATAATAAAAAATAAAAAAATTGACAATTTGATATTTTATTTTTTTTTTGAAAAAAAAAAGAATATTATTAATGAATAGTATTAAAAAATTTTAAAGTATATATAAACATAATTTTAGATATTTACGACATAAGTAAGGAATCGAAATTTCAATTTTAGACTCTGATGTTTATTAGAATTCTCGAGTAAATAGTCGGATTGTTTCAAAGTTAAATTCATGCTAATTTGGAATAAGATCACGCTATAATTTTTCGAAAAACATCTATTACAGTATTCATCCATTATAATTCTCTATCCTTACATGTATGTATATATGTATGTTTTTATACCTGTACGGTAGCTTTTAGCCCGAACGCCTTCGCTGCGACGAGAACATTAGGATTAGCCGCCCACTTCACACTTAATTCCATAATCAATTCCTTTTCCTCAGTGTTGTAAACTTTCATTCCTGTTTGCATATCAAAATTTTATGTCTTAACATCAAAGAGACTTAAGTTTGGACAACAACGTAAGTATTATTTCTTTCGTCTCTTTTTAAAGAGGCCCTTTGGAGTTCTGTAGTAGATTAAAAAAATATAGTATTTTATGTAATCACATTAGTGTATGATTATCTTTACTGAAAAGAAAAATAGATACTTTTGAGAGGAACGGACGAAAATGGTAAAAAAAGTACTTGAATCGGGATAGAGAAAGTATCATTTATTGTCTTCGACAAACCTTGGAAAGTCGGGGGAAGGCAGCCTAAAGTGAGTTCTTCGAATTCCACCGATTCGATTTTGAACTTAGGAATTTGCTCATCAATCATAGGTTGTACAATGCCCTTCACCATCTTGCAAATTGCCTGAAAACCTTAAAAATTTCAATGTCGGATTGAGTAGAAAGAACGGAAATTGTTATAAAATTTAGCACGATATTGATGTCACACAATACAGGAGCAAACACCATGTAATATAAAAATACACAGTATATGAATTATGTTAACATAATAGAAATACAACGATGAATTGACAGCACATTAGTATAGTCTTATATATATAATACATATTCTCACAGATTTCAGCGTAATAAACATATTCATACAATACAACTAAGAATTTTGAACTGACCATATATTCTTTTATTTATTTTAAATAAAAAAATATATATTTATTTTATATATCCTAATCTGATTCAAATTAGCACCATATCATAACGCCAACAATTGTAGAAACGAATATTACCTTGTCCAAATGAGGCCACATATATTGCAAGAACTTGTTGAGCCAATCAAGCTGCATTGATCAAAAAGAAACTTTTGGTTTGGATTAGCCATCATTCGATTTGAATCGATTCAACCACAATGTTATGAAACTTACGCGGTCGAAGTCCGGATTCTTGACCCAGAGAGGCATTTCCGGAAGAAGGGTTTGAAGATCATCGTCAGATCGCTCGGACAACGGTACGATCTTAGGATTCTGCAGTGTCCAATTCAGACAACTTATTTTATTTACCGAGAAACTCGTTGGATTAGGCTTCGAACGGCCAAAATTCCCAGCAAACGTAATAAAAATACATGAATGGGATTTGGATGATATATAATTAATTACCTTAACATGAGTTGGCTCAGAGAAAATGAAAGCAAAGTATCCAGCCACAATCCCAATGAGAAACCCAAATCCAAACCCAAAAATGCCCAGAATTGTGCTGATCAATCCCATCTTGGATCATACTCTCATCTCATCTCATTTCATAATTAGGGTTAATGAATGGTTCATAGGTTTAATTTCCAAATTAATTAATTAAGGATATAATTGAAAATTGCAAAAACCACTCTTTGCTTTTCCACCACACACCACACCTTCTTTTCACTATTCAAACGCCTCCATGTAATTTGCCTATTATTCATGTCTATATATATAATTTGTCTATATATATAGAGACATGAATAATACTCCATTCGTTCCAGGTATCGTGTCCCCTTTACCGTAAACAATAAGAATATATTAGTAAAAATAATTATTATTTAATAAAAATAATTTGAAATGAAGACGAAGATAACTAATTAGTATAATTAAAACTTTTAAAAAAATAAATAAAAATTTTTAAAATGAGATTAGAGTGTATAATATTTTTTTTAAAAAAAAGAAAAGTGACCAAATAAGTGGGACAGACGGAAATGAAAGAGAGGTGAGAGTAATATATATCATTGATGCAATATATAATTGGAGTGTAATGTTGGGTGTTTTCCTGCAAAATATTTACAGTTTTAGTTTTATGTTATTTTTTGTGCAAAAATGATTTAATTTAATTTTAAATAAATTTGTGCAAAAAATTATTTTTTGTTATTTTTTAATAAATTTGAGCAACTTTATGGATGTGTTTCTTTACCCTCAAACTTTCGATTTTGGACTCTGTATTTCTCAAAATATCTTATCAAATCATTACAAGAAAATAATCACTTTTGTAACAAAATTTTTTTTTTTTTTCTAAATCTATTTTTTTCGTTACTAATTACATTAGAGACAGAATTGAAAATAAAACTACGTTAGCTACGTGAACTTTTAGGGACGAAATTTTGTTACAAATATATTATTTTTTTGTAGTGAACATTATTTTAATATTCAAATTAAACTTTTTTTCAAATCAATCAAAAGAGCCACAGAATGCTTGTTGTATATATTTACTTGATATATATAATACATTAAATACACTATATATTAATTTGTTTATATAAATTATATCTTTTTTTTAACTGGGACCGCACCCGCTACCATTGGGGTGCCTTCTCAGTAAATCTTCAGTCAAACTTAATGACATACAAATTAGACCCGATAAAATAATTGTGAAATGTAAATTAGACCCGATAAAATAAGTTACAAATATTTATATCTGTATGTTACCCTTTATATTGTTTTTACACATTTTACCTTTTTTACCGCTAAATGTTTAAGCCACGCGCGTCTCAACATTGGCATAATTTTATTCATTAATGTGGACATTTTATTCATTAACTAAAAATAAATAAATAAATGTACCAATTAAATTTTAGTTTTTTTCTGAGATATGATATCACTAAAGATTTGAATTACCCTAAAATCTTACTCCTTCCTAAATTGTGCATTTTAATATAGACATGAAAATTTAAGTAAAATATAATTAGTAAATAATAAATGTATTAGTAAATATAATTATGATATAATAAAAATAATTATAGATTAAAATAAAAATAAATAAATAATATAATTAAGATAGAAAAAATTATAAACTATAAAATTTAAAATATAATTATATTTAAAAAAAAAAAAAAAACTGACACGGAACGAGTATGATGCGGTTGGTAGCTATAGTTGAATTATAACATAATATGTATTTGGTTATTATAACATAATATGTATTTGGTTATTAATAAATTTTAAATATTTTAAAAATTATAGGAAATAAGATATTATAAATGAATTGCAAAAATTAGAAAAATAATTCAAATGAAAAAAATAATAAAAAATAATAAGAATGTCAACATTAAGTTGAATTGGTAACTGTTTGTTAATTTGCGAATGAGAGAAGTTAGATAAAAATATTGTTTGTAAATTTCTTTATATAAAGAATAAATTAGATGTAATATTTCTTTATAAGTTATTAGGAGAAATATATTAAATTAATCAACAAAAAAAAAATATTATTATATGTATGAAATAAATGAATAATTTTTTTAAAAAAAAATCACCTAATAATTTTAGATGGAACAATTCCTATAAATATTATTTTAAAAGACATAAGATTCAGCTATTAACATTATAATATATATATATATATATTTCCATACAAAAAAACTCAAATAATTCAATATAAAATATTATTTTTTATATTATTAACGCTATTCTCTATAGCAAGCATAAAAATAACAAATTCATTCAAAAACACAAACAAACTCAAGTTATAAAACTAAAAACTCTTTCAAAAAACCATTTTTCAAACACCCTCGCTGCTTCAAATTCAAATAATGAAGCAAAACTCACAGTACTTGCTATTCCAATTATTCATGCAAATTCAATCATCAAATCATTCTTACCTCAACTACAAACAAATAGCCTCGGCAGCGGCCCTGCCCTTCACGAACTAACGAACGAGCCTCCTCTCCGGTCCATCATCTGTTCAGCTCGCTCCCGTTTCAGCTTCTTCACAATTTCAACTGCATCGGGATTATGGAACCTTTCCTTAACAAACTTCCTTTCTTCAGCTTGTATTCCCTCGATTGCACTTGGAAATGGATTCACTGTGGGCAGCCTTTTCCCCTCAAGTCGGGATATCTGCTTCAGCCGAGCATATGCCTTCTTTTTAGCCTTTCTCTCAGCCCGATATTCCATCTACAACAAAATAAAATTGCATTTTGAAAAATTATATAACAAGTTTGTCACAACAATATATATATATATACACATACATCAGCAACAGCCATAGCTTCCTCCTCGCCGACGCCCTGGCCCTTTAGTTCAAGAACTCTCCAAGCAAATACTCGGGCTGCTGGTGGGTCGAAACTAGATATTCTATTGAAATGTAACAAAAAATTAACAGAAGAAAACACTTAAGTTGGGTCACAGCCAAGAACCTTCCCTATCGTTCTGTTCTTCCAACACTATTTTTCAATAGCGACTTCTCAAAAATAATACTTCCTCCATCCGGCTCTAAAGGTCAAATTTACTTTTTATTAAATATTAATTATTATATAAAAACTTAGTATAAATCATGGGAAAAAGGCAAAAAAAAAATCTCTATTAGTGTCTTATAGTGCTGTTATAATGACATTTATGCAAAAAATTATACAAACATAAAGATATTTTTAATGTTAAGTACAATGACGCAAAAAGTAAATGAGACCCTTAAAGCCGGATGGAGGGAGTAATAAACAATACAAAATATGTAAAGTCAAAAGAATCTTCAAATACTTATTACAAAAAATCAAAAAGTCGAACATTTAACTCAAAATAATATTTACTCCGTCCCTTAACAAACTATCTATTTTTCCATTGGTATGTCCCATAACAAAGTATCCATTTTCATTTCTATTTTTAGTAACTGTAATATCTTCCTAACATTACAAATACCCTTTCAATTTACAATATATTACACAAATGTCAGTACCTTTATATCATACAATACTAACAAAGTTAATTTATTATTTTTACTTTTATTTCTTTTGCGTCCCAATATAATACTAATATTTTTAAAATTCTGTGCAAAAAACAGATAGGTAGATATGGGACAGAGATAATATATTTTATATTTTTGACACAATTCCTCCTACCACACATAAAAAATTAATTCATTTAAAAATGCTGCGTGAACGGAGCCATAATGTTGTTATAGCATTTAAAGATTACCAGACTGACCGTAGAGTAGCAGGGTATAACTAGTCTGAATTTGTTGACAGAATTTGGATTTTATAATTAGTTTACGCACAACCACTATTGACCCGAACGGAATAGAAGTACCCTAGTTGTCTTAATTAGCAAGCAAGTTCACAACATTTTTTATAATTCGGATAACAAAACACAAATTTCACACTAAAAAAACATTCGAGAGATAGTAAGTGCGTAACAAGAAGCAAGTAAAAGGGGGGATTGGACACATACTTGATAGGATCTTCATATTTCGAATCGGGATGCTTTTGGAAAAACTTATTAACATAAGCATCCTCCGGTAAAACTATCGGCTTAAGTTTATTCTCCGCACGAGGAAATGTAGCAGGCGGTGACCTGCCAAGGAACTGAATATCAAGAATGATTCTCCAGAAACAGTACTACATAACTACAATCGATCAATTAATTTGGAAAAGACGCACTTCTCCATGGCCTTGAGCCATACGGGCTCGGCCTTGGCCAACCCTTTAACGAGTTTCCGGGTTTTGGCAAGCAAATCTCCTCTCATATAAGACATTTCTGCGACCTCCAATCTGATATTAAACAAACATGGACCACAATTACAGAACATAAACCGAATAGAAATGGCGACTTAGTTTAATAAATTTATCTATTTTATGACTTTAACCCAAAAATAAAAATAAAAATTGTCGAAATAACAAAAGTTCAGCAGTATCTTTCGACCGAACTGTAGTAACAAATCAGCAAGAGCGCCGAAACCTCTATCTCTGAAAACATAGCCCTCCGCAAGACAGGAATTATTAATAAGACATCTTCAAATTGAAATCGAAATAACAAGAAGCAAAAACAATGAATTCATAAGGATAGCATTAAGCAATATTGAAAGAAGACATCTTCATATTAAAATTGAAGCTTATAACAATAAACATGTTGGATTCGGGCATGGGCATAAATCATTGTAACTTGCCATGATAACATCAAACACTTAGCCAAATAAATATGAACTGAATTAGCATAACAACAAACTACTGGAAATTTCTCATTAATTTAAATTGAAATAGCAATATCCATATAAAACAAATCCTCAGGCATTTAAATACCAATAAACGATGCATAATTAGAAAAGTGAATTTACAGAGCTCCAGTGAAGCCCAAGAAAAAGAAAGAGACAAAGAACGTAGAATTGGGGACTGAAATTAGGGTTTAGGGTTTGGCATTCCCCAAACCCAAACTCAAAACCACAAAATCAAACCATGGAACGGGCACGCCTAAAAAATTCTAGATATCTAATAAACAAAGGAGATTATCTTAGCTTCAAGAATTATTCTAACACAAGTAGCTGCCTCTACCTAAAATCAGAAACCCTATCAAGCAAATGCTAAGTAGAAATCATAAGTACGGAAGTAGAGGCGTGGGCTTAGATTACGTCTCACGCAACTCAGCAAAAGTAAATTAGCCAAAGGTTGAAGTCAGTCAGGAACAATTTCATTCGATAGATCATACAATTAGTATAGAAAACCCTAACTTTTGCTTCGATTATCTAGATTTGTGAAAGTAATCGTCAATATGAGATACCTGGAGCACAGCGATCGGGGCAGCAGTCTAATCGAAACGGTGCGGACGTAGAAATCTACCTATCGATTGTTTTTCCGATCCACAGATAAATCCGATTCTAAGTGGAACCCACCCGACAAATACCCGCCCGAATTTTTGGAAAACGGATTCGAAGATCCGCTTCCGCCCAGACAGACCCGAGGTCCCGATGCTCGACTGTTTCAAACCGGACCGGATCGACCGAAACCGATTTTTACACGGATCGGTTTATTTCTATATTTGTTGAACCATGAACCGACAGTTCAATATTTTTATTATTATTATTATTATTACTCCCTCCGTCCTAAATACGTGTCTGTTACATTGTAAACACGGTATTTTAAAAGGGGTATAATTAGTAGATAATTAAGAATGTATTAATGAAAATAATTATTCTATAATATAAATAATTATAAATTATGATTAAGATAACTAATTAGTTTAATTAAAATTAAAAAAATAAAATTTAAAAATTTAAAATGAGATTAAAGTGTGTAATCATTTTTCAAAAAAAAAAAATGATATGTTATGCTATGTAGGACGGACAAAAACGGCAATATGGATATGGTATCTGGAGACGGAGGGAGTATTATTTTTAAAAAAGGAGCAGTCCTTATCACGTCGGCAGAGGATGAGGGAGAAATTAATGCAGTTGCGGCTGCGCCGTAAAATTATTAGGCAAAAACTTACTCCTCCCTCCGTCAAGCAAAAATTAAAATAATGGGGAATTAAGAAAAATAAATATTTTATAAAAATAATAAAAATAAATAATTATTAAACAAAAAATAATAATTAAATATTAATTAATTATTTTGTTAAAATTAATAATTGAATAAATTTAACAAATTTATTAAAAAAAATAAAAATAAATTTGACTGAGAAAGAGAATATATTTTATAAAATAAATATTTATAATTAAAATTATTTTATATTAATAATAGCATTACATTCATGCAATATACCATTTTATTATTTTTTTTATATCTTACATAAAAAAAAATTTAACTATAAAAATTAAATATTGAATTACTTGAACTTTATTCTTTTTATATTTATATTTTAATTTTTGAATTAAATATTTATTAGATGTGATTTTAGTATGCCAATTATATAGTATATATTTTTAGAAATCTTCTTTTGAAAAATTACACGTTAAATTATATATCCAATATATAATAATTTTTAGATATAATATTTAATTCTTATTTTATATTCAATATATGTAGAAATGCTCATGTGTACAAATCTCATATCGTTCTCTTGGGTGACACTCCCAACACAGGTAATAAATTGGACACTGATTAAAACAACAATCGTCTCAAGTTCATGTCTACAACCAAATAACAAAAATACAATAAAAACCATAATATAGCATCACCCACTCTTATTCACAATAAATTTAATTTAAATTAAATATAATCAAACTATATTAAAATTAAACTGCATCTCTAATCTAATCAAACAAAACACAATCGCATATATATATATATATATCATCAAAACCAAACCTATCATCAATAAACTTATAAAAAGCCACCACAGATATATATATATATATATATATATGTATGGCTAAACTAATTGGCAACCTTACCTTTCGAGGACGAAAAGAATCTGATGAATCCCCGGCTTTGCTTCTTCTCCGGCGTAGAACAACCACTCGACGAGCAGCCGCGGTGGTTGTTCCGATGCTTCGATCGAAATGGCGATCTAACTCTGTGGTTTGCTTCCACAGCCATGCCACGTTCTGTTTCTGCTTCTCCGGTTGAGGTTTCGAGCTTTTGGCCTCCGGCATTGCTCGGCGAGCTGAGGGAATCGGTTTGCGGACGCAAAGTTTTCAACTGCTTGCCGAGAAGTTGTATGGTTTCTTGACACTCTGCCAGTTTCTCAGCTGCTGTGGCTAACTCATCCTGCCATTCAAGAACATCAGTTTAAGTGAGTGTATCAGTTATTACCCGATAAAACGATTTGATTCGAGAGTTAATGATGTTGGTAATACGAGAGACAGGGTTTACAACGAATAAGGACGGACAGATCTTTGTATCGTGTAGAGTTCACTTTCCAAATACAATGTTTCGACCCTTACTTGCCTCGGGTTGCACGAAATTTGTATTGGGATAATACAAAGATTCGATTCTTAATTTCAGACAATAATTCATTTCCAATTCAGATTAATTTCTGTATTTATAGAAATACAGACATCTTTTTAGAAAAAATACGATTTGAAAGACATCCAAGAATCAAGATTTTTGTGTTGGCTAACCTGGGAAGTGTTTTTGTCGTTATCAGCTGCAGCACAGCTCGCCATCCTGTCGAGCCAAGTGAAAATGAGTTCTAAGAGTCGAATTATAATTTGTTAAGTCGATAATTCGACAATTATTAACTACTACCTTTGCAGCTGTTCTTGTAGATCATTACACCGGGCGACAGCGTTGCGATGGCTTCTTTTCTCCTCATGCAGCTCATCATCCAAAGCTTCTATCGTCCCTCGGAGAAGATTAATTTCATTTCGAAGCTCCTCCGCCTGAGATTCCAACGTTTTGTACGACTCCGCCATGCATTTCAGCTGTGTCTCAGCCAAGCTGTTGGATCTTTGATCTGATGCCAGTTGCAACTTGACATCAGCAAGAACTTGTTCTGTTTCTGCTAATCGAGACTTGGTGGTTTCGAGATCAGCTGCCAAGCCGTCTCTTTCCCTTTTCAGCTGTTCGATCTCCTCGGACGAACATTTCCATGACGTGGCTATCGAATCGGATGAAGAATCAGAAAATTGGACACAACCATTTAATAACAGAGACCCCTCGACAGCCTTATTCACAGATAGAGCAATCTTGTCGATGCAATATGAACTATTAAGTTCCACTTCCGAGTGTAGCATTTCACTTGCTCGGCGTAACACATTGGAGATGTCGACTATGAAATTTGTTAGATCGATCTCATTGCTATAGGCGTCACCGTACTTGGATGATAACGTGGCGAGGCTTTCGTTTAGTCCATTTCCCGATGTTCGTTGGACAGCCTTTGCCTCTTTACTTAGCTTGATCACAAAATCATGAATGTGGGAAATGGCTGCATCCAATTCTTGCTTGTTCATTTTCTCGATCACAATAACAGAGTAAGCGTCGCCATTTAAGGACTGGCGAGGCAATGCATCGAGCATATCCTGCATAAGAAGCTTAACATGATCGATCATTCTGTCCGTGTCTTTATCGTCGCGGATAGATTCCAGTACCGTATGTATTTTTGATCGAAGCTTCACAAGATCCAAATCACGACAATTATCCCCTGGTTGTGGATTCAAAGCAACTTCAAGTGTAGTTTCAGGTCTAGCAAGTTCGGATCCTTTATTAACTGCATCGACAGAAACATCCGAGCACGAAACTCTCGACTGTGAGTCATTGGATTCATAAGCTAATTTCTCCATCTCCAGAAAGTCATCCATAAGGTCCATGTGATTGCTATTTCTTGATTCGTGAGGACTGTCGCCATTCTTTTCCCGGATATAGGAAAATTCAGACATCGAGACTGTAGCCAATGAACCAGCACAGCTAAAACTATCGTCATTTCCATCTTCGATCACCGCAGTCCTGCGTAGATTTGTAACTTTCTGAGTATTGAACGTTAGAGGACTTCCTTGCTCACTACCAGCTTGCTGTTGTGCTTCTAAAGTTCGAAGCTTGCTCGCCATTTCTTCGCATGAACTTCTTGAAGCGTGCAATTCGCTATTGCATTGTGACAATGTTTCCTTCAGAATCCTTGTTTCTTCATCCATTGCTAGTAGACGCTCGACAAGTAGCTCGCTCTCCTTGTGATACTTTTGCGCAATGTCCATGGAAAAGTCGGGCGATTGAGACATGTGTGCAAACGAAGGTTTCCTTGGGGACCTTCTAGAACGAGAATCTCCATAGTCTCTGCCTAAGCTCTCAACTTCAACTTTCATTTGCGCCAAAGCAGCAGGACCGGGCAATTTCTTTCGAACAAGACTTCTCAGCCTCTGACACTCTGCCTCAAGCTTAGCTACCTTTTTCACTCCCTCAAGATGCTGCTTTGTAGCTACTTCTGCAGATCTTACACTCATGTTCTTTTCCTCGTTACGGATTTCCACTTCTTTCCTAGCGATATGAAGCTCGTATTTCAGTGAGCTTACTTCTTTTTCACAGGACTCGATGTTTCTCTTCAAAAGAGATATCTCAGCTTCAGCCTGTGATTTTTCTTGTCCGAGCTTAATCAGCATATTGGACCGTTCTTGCAGAGATCTTGATAATGCATCGTTATCTGCAGTGGATCGAAGTATTTGTTGATTCATGTTGGCTATTTTGGCATCAAGCTCTTGCTTCATTTCATCGAATAGCATTTTTTTCTCGAGAACAACTGCATTCAATTCTTGACTGTGTTCTTCCTTTAAGTTTCGAATCTGCTTCATGCATTCCTTGAGAGCATCATCCAAATGGGATGCCCGATTTTCTTCATTAATCTTTAGCAGTGTTACAGATTCCAAATGATGCTTCAGTGTTGCTGCTTCTGCATCAGCCTTTTCCCAACCTGAACAAAAAAAGTGGTCGGCATTTAAAGCTTCGCCATCTATTTCAAAAACAAAGGAGACAACAGCAAGTTCAAACCTGAGACGGCTTCTTCGGCAACTTTAGCATGTTGTTTTACTAAGTTTTCTTTCTCTGTTATATCTGAATGGGCCACAGACAACTTTTCCTTCAGTTCCTTCACTTCATCCTCTAAGGTCAGCCCCCTTGCTTCACAGGACTTCAGTTGATCCTCCAATCCGGTAAGATGCTCATGTGATTCTATTGAAATTTGAACATATTTTGTGGTTTTAACACTGTTATCCTGCTTTCCCTGTTAGACAACACAAAATCTAAGAACAGGGCCATGAAGCAACAATAGAATGGTTTAAAGAACTCTAATGCAACCTTGTTCACTTGAGTTGCATCTATGTCAGAAACGGCTGCAGAAGCATTTGTTCCATCTGCTGCTTGTTTATCAGATGATTTTTTCTTCCATGGCCAATTCATCTTATCCATTTCAAGCTACTAAATGCAAACAAGGTACCATAGCAGATTCAAAAGGCATGTCTTCAAAGATGTACTAAAGTAAATAACATTCGAAAACAGCACAGGACTCCAGGATGTTTGTGGTAGGGTAAGTTAGGTTTTGTTGACAGGAAAGCATGTGACATTGCTTTAGCATAACATCCAAGGCATTCATATAGACATGGTGTGACACAAACAAGTTAAAATCACATGCCTCAGCAAGGATATATAATTTTGTAATGTCAGAAAGATTCGTTCATCTCCAACAACATATGAGTTACGAGCTTGATAAATCATAACAGGTCTGGTTATCAAGAGCATTATTGAATTTCAGACACAAACACAGGATAAGATATATATATTCCAATCGAATCTGTAATGCAGATTACAAAGTGATGGAAATCTGAAGGCATGCAACTACCCATTATAATTTATAGTATTCAATGGCGATGAAGAAAAGGAAAGCCCACCAAATAGAATCTAGCTTTACCCTGTTAACTCTTATGATCTGACGATGAATCAAATAGCAAAATTTAGTCGAATAATTTCTGTGCTCGGTTGCAGAAATCCGAACCGAGTATCAAACGTAGTTTCAGGAACTAGACACGATGTATGGTTGCTTCAAACCTCAGCTACAAGCCTACAACTACAAGTATGTGTACGATTCCGCGTTCTCAAGAAATTATGAATATGAAAATGAAAATGATTATTCACCTTCCAAATTGAAAAACTCCAATGTGTTGAAGAAAAGTGTACACTTCCAAAATGACTGCTTCGATTTAGCTGAGTTACCGAACGATTGAAAAATTGACATTGTGAGAAAAACTCCAAAGATTCACGCCACAATGACTTGCTAATTAATCTCAAAACATTGACAAATGAAATTGAAAGGTGCAAAATGCATTTCACCACGAGATAAAAAATAATCTACAAGATATGTGATGAAATTCACAAATTGAAGAAACAAACGAAATAGTCTCAGGAAACGGAATCTAGAAGCAAAGAGCAGAAAGAGCTTTCAGAATTTTTGTTTTAAGTACAAAATAAAAAAGAAACGATTTCAAGTAATGTTAAACTACAAAGAGAAGAAGATTTCCCTTAATAACCAGCACATTGATTCAATCCAGCAAAAGAACAAAACAATAACAATGAAATTTAACGTAACCGAACAACGATCAAAGCGTTCTTACAGACACACAAATAGCCGCTCCAAATTTTCCGTACTTACCAGCTACAATGCAGCGAATTTCCAACTCCGACTGAGAGACAAAAACCGAGTTTCAACGCTGAGAATGCAGATATTTGCTTCTTCCTTCAGCGCGTTTTCTGAAGATTTCAAAACGACGGCGGCGGCGGCGATGGCGGCGGCGGTTGAGTGGCCGGAGAGGATTGCTCAGCCTAGGCGCTAAATAGCAGCATCACTCAAAAGGCTCCAAAGCATTAAAAAAAAAAACAATTTATTTAATAAAAATAAATAATAAAAATGCAAAATTTTCGCCAATGGAAGCAAGGAATATCTGCGTAACAAACTTCCTTTTCACTACTTCTTCACTTAACTTAATTACTTGATTAAATATGTATTTACAACTAATGACATTGCATGAAATGACAAAATTACCCCTCGGTAATCAGGGTTTATCCTCGGAGCACCCGGGTGTTGAGCACCTGGTTACGTAGAGCCGAAGCATGGAGCCGTGAAGGGTGCGGGTGGCGTGGTTTTCGAGTCCCGGGAGCTGATGTAATTTGGCTGTGGCAAGTGGGTGACAGAATGTGGTAAAAGTCAGCAATCAGCTGCAATAGAATTGACAAATGGGAGAGATAGAAGAGAAGAGAAGCATAAATTGAGAGCGTCCCCACCTTTATCCCATGTGCCGCAGCTGCATCTGATTCCTTCCTCTGCAGATTTCACACTTCAGCTCCTATCAAAATTAAAGGTTTTTTTTTTTTTATTATTATTACGTAGGAACTCTCCGTCGCTGCCCGAAAATTCGTATGGGATAAACTCTCGATCGAACCTAATACCCTACAAATTAGGCTTGATAGACAAGTCACACTGGGTTAATCATGTATGGCAGGTAACCTGAGGCATTGGGGTTTGAACCATGACGTCACGGTCTGCAAAAAAAAAAAATAAAAAAAAAAATAAAGGTGTGTTTATTTTGATGGTTTTGCTTTTAGTTTGAATTTGGTATTAAAATAATATATAATTGAATATTTTTAAAAATATATTATCCCTCCGTCCCGGAACAAGGGTGGTGTTTGCTTTTTGCAAGTAGATTTTTAAATATTAATATTATAATGGATTATAGTGAAAATGACAAAAATCCCTCTATTAGTATTATGTAATATAAAAGTAATAGCATTTGTGTAATATAATGTAAGTTGGAAATGTATTTATTATGTTAGGTATGTAGTACAATTACTAAATTAAGAAATTGTAACCTTGTTTTGGGACGGATGAAAATGAAAAATGACAACCTTTTAATAGGACGGAGGAAGTATATATATTTTGGAAAAACGGTATGTTTCTTTGGACAAATTTTTTCAAATTTTACTATTTGAACTCTGCGTTTTTCGAAAAAAAAATATATTTATTTTTCTCACAAAATATCCTATCAAATATTATTTTATCAAACTCAAACCAAATTCTTCCAAACTCATGCAAAAGAAACACACCCGTAGTTAAAATACTAAAAACTTGGAGTTTTATGCCAAAAGAAACAAAATACTCGGTAAGTAATGAATATTAATTTAATTTGAATCAATAATTATTATCATGTTATATATTCTCTATTCCCTAAGTCCGCAAAAATTAGTTTATAAGAAAAATTAATAGGATAAATGTTTTCATTTATTTATCCGCAAACTGGAAAACAAAATTTGTATATGCATATGCATGAGAATGATCATCTCACCTAAAAAACTAAACATATCATTAATTTATTTATTCATAAACGAGAGTTTCTAACATATAATATAAACTACAATCAACATAAAAATTCAATTATATTGTTTAATAATAAAATATTATTTAATTATAAATTAAGTTATAATGTTTATATTTCTTTTATAACTTGAGAATCCGCACTTGCTACTTTTCGGTACGATATGGGTGAACCTCTTATAGAATTATTAGTTTATGCAAACATGTTTATGCATTTGATCTAAAATATGTTTGATTGTTTTAAACATAGGTGGCCTGATTTAAAAAAAAAATAAAAATAAAAAAAAAAATAAAAATAAAAATAAAAATTGAAAAAGTAGTTTGGATTAAAATTAAAATTGTAGTGCTAATTTTGGATCCAATTAGTAATCAAGCACAACCTAGTACTACTTCAGTTATAAAAAAATAAATTAATTTACTTCTAAGTACAAATGTTTAATGTGGTATGTATTTTGATTTTTTTTAAAAAATAAAATAAAATAAAAATATGTATAATTTTTGCTAAAAAAAACAACCCTGTTTTTTTATTATAGAAAGATAAAAAAGAAAATTTAAAAAAAAAAAAAACATATTCTTTCATGACAGAAGAATATATTGTATGAATACAATCGGATTATTACAAAAAAAAAATAAAAAATGGTTCATATATATATATATATATATTACTATATCTCAATTCAAAAGAATTTATGGGTTGTTTCTTTACCCTAAAATTTTTAATTTTTATTATTTGGTCTCTGTATTTTTTTTAAAAAAATTATATTTTTTTATTAAATATTTTATCAAATATTATTTTAATATCAAATTCAAAATAAATTTCTTCTCAAAATTTGACTACACTTTAAATATAGTGAAAACTAAAACAAAAGAACTAAAATAATTTTGCTTTTTCATCAAATACTAGGTTGTATTTGCTTGTAGGTTTTTCCCATTTTTTACTATTTGTACAATTATTTTTTCATAAACATCAAATAAATACATAATCTTTGTGTTAATATTATACTAAAATCCGATTTATATTAAAAAGTATCATTTTAATATATATATATATTGCTTGACTTCATAAATAATAAATAAATAAATTATAGGCATTATTTTAAATTTAAATTTTTATGTGTATTTGAATTTCACCCTTTTCATTCGTCTTCTCCCACGTGTTTTTTTTTTGTCACGTAAGAGATGGTCTGGTGGTGGTGTAGGGGTGGTCACCTGCCACACATGGTTATCTAGTGCGTGCTTTCGGGTAGCGGCTGTGAGTTTTCATTTTATAAGAAAAAAAAAAAAAACACACCCATTTTTTCAAAAAAAATTAAAAAAAAAAATTGATATATATCATATTAAATACATAATTATTATTATTATTATTATTATTATCAAATTTTTCGAAAATTTTAAAACTCTTCAATAAAAAAGATAATTAGCGAGGAACATCATCGCATTAATGTAATTTTCAAAATATATTTATTAAATAATATAAAAAAATACTAAATAGTATAATTTTGAATTGGAATAGTTATTTGATGTGATATATATATTGATATGATATTTTGAATGTAAAATTAAATTTTAGTATAATAAAATAAGTAAAAATTAAATGTTTAATTTTATTTTTTTTAAAAAAAAATTAAAATAATAAAATTAGAGGTAAAATCTTACATAATTTGATAACCGGTGGTGTATTTAAAATGCTTGCTTACTGGTTGAATTTTTTAAGTTAAAAAGTTGAGTTTGAAATCATTTACTATTTAAGTAATATATTAAAAAATCAAAATATATATTTAAATATTTTACAAATATATAATATTGATTATTTTATAAAAAATAAAGTTTTATATAATAAAAATAAATTTTAAAAATATAAATATTTATATAAATATTTATTTATAATTAATACTCCCTCCGTCCGCTTACAAAGTTTATATGTTTTTATTTTGGGACGTCCAATTACAAAGTTTATATTTCATTAAATACTCTATTTTTTTCACAAATATCCTTACTTTACATCACATCATTACTTTTACACAAAAAAGTAAGGGCAAAAATATTATTACACTACTTTTAACTACTCACTGTAATTAAAATACTATTATTTCTTAAACACCGCGCCAAAAGTAAATGTAACTCTTCTAAATGGACGGAGGGAGTATAACTTAATTTTATGAAAAATAGTATGATTTGAATGTATAAATATAGAGTTTGTTTGTTTAGCGTTTTGGTTTGAGATTTTTATTTTACGTAAAATATGAAAAAATATATCAGTAATATAAAAAATAATATTTTTATGTTGAATATTGAATTTTTGTAGGAAGATAAAATTATTTACTTTCTCCATCCCATTGAAAGGGTGATGTTTACCTTTTTTTTTCATGTATATTTTTTAATATTAGTATTATATTGAGTTATATTAAAAAACAAAAAACAAAAATATCCATATTAGTATTGTGTAATATAAAAATAATGATACTCCGTATAATATATTGTAATTTGAAAGATATTTATTATATTAAATAAATAGTACAACTGCTAAATTATGAAATAGTAACCTTTGAACAGATAAAAATAGAATATGTCAATCTTTTTCAAGAATGGAGGGAGTGTGTATATATATATATATTAAAAACGCCTAGTATATCTTCTTAAGTTTTTATGTACAAATGTTGTAATATTTTAAATTTGTACATTCTCTTAATAAAAAAAAATATATATTTAATAATTGAATTTGTTCATTTAACATTTATGCTCGTGTTTATATTTTGATTTTTAAGTAAAATAATTTTTAAATATGATTTTTTATTTTTGTTTTTTTGTATTTTTATTAAAAGTTGTAATAGTATTATATAACAAAAATAAAATAAATAAAATTTTGGGTTGTCTTGTTTAGTGTTTAGAAATTTCTTCAATTTTGTTGTTAGTTATTTATAACTAACTATAAAAGTACTCTTAAAATATTTATTTTTATTATTTTTTCTATAAAATAAAAATATAATATAATTTTGTTAAAATTACTTGCATAAATGGATTGTGTATATGTTTTTTTTTTTTCGTGGTTATTTTGAAAGTCTATATATTGTAAATTATTAAAATGGATTATGCTAGTAATAATAATTTATAATTATTACTCCCCCCATCCCAATACAATAGTCTTCTTTATCATTTCTGTCGGTCCCAAAACAATAGTCTTATTTTCATAAATAACCATATCACTGTAAAATTATCCCTATTTTTTCATTTTTATTACACAATTGTTATTACTTTTTATACTAATACATTCACAATGGCAAAAAAGTTTTTTATTTTATTTTTTTACCAACTACCAGTATAATTTCAATATTTTTTAAATCTTGTGTCCAACTCAGTTAAGACTATAATTTTGTGACGGGGAGAGTATTATTTTATTATTTATACTAACTCGGCTAGTTGAACTCTGATTTAGACCTACTTAATAACTCACGACCTTACTAATAAAATAAGATAACGACCCCTGGCCAAACTTACAATATTTTAAAATATATAAAAATAAAATATAAAAATTACCAAACTATTTCATATTTATTTAATTTCTAATAAGATACAGCTGAA